ACAAATTGGGCCATGCGTGGTGGCTCACATCTGTAATCCTAGCACTCTGGGAGGCCGAGGCAGGTGGATCATTTGAGCTCAGGGTTTCGAGACCAGCCTGAGCAAGAGCGAGACCCCGTCTCTACTAAAATATAGAAAGAATTTAGCTGGACAACTAAAAAGATATATATAAAGAAAATTAGCTGGGCATGGTGGCACATGCCTGTAGTCCCAGCTACTCGCGAGGCTGAGGCAGAAGGATTGCTTGAGCCCAGGAGTTTGAGGTTGCTGTGAGCTAGGTTGACGCCGTGGCATTCCAGCTTGGGCAACAGAGTGATACTCTGTCTCAAAAAAAAAAAAAAAAAAAAAAAAGCTGAAGGAATTGGGCTATGAAATTTTGCCTCATCTGCCATATTCACCTGACCTCTCACCAACCAACTACCACTTCTTCAAGCATCTCGACAACTTTTTGCAGGGAAAATGCTTCCACAACCAGCAGGATGAAGAAAATGCTTTCCAAGAATTTGTCGAATCCCAAAGCACGGATTTTTATGCTACAGGAATAAACAAACTTACTTCTCGTTGGGAAAAACGTGTTTATTGTAATGGTTTCTATTTTGATTAATAAAGATGTGTTTGAATGTAGTTATAATGATTTAAAATTCACAGCTAAAACCGCGATTACTTTTGCACCAACTTAATACTGGCTTTGGGCACTCTTGCAAACAGAATGCAGGGAATAGATATCTTCAACAACTTTCAAGATAAATGTCAGGAAGTTGGACTGAATTTGGTAAATTTAGTCAGTGTATGTAACAGCTGGTGCACCTTCCATGACAGGAAAACCTGAAGGGTTTATTGCACAGATTAAAAAAGGGTTAAGAGATCCAGATGCTCTCATTTCTTTTAATTGTATCTTGCATCAGCAAAATCTCTGTGCTAAACCTACTGTTTTAAGTGACACTTTGCAACAAGTGATAAGTGTTGTTAAGTATATTCTTGCAAATGCAACACGGCATCATCTGTTCTCTAACATGTTAAAGTTGAATGAGGAGGTATTCAGTGTGGATTTGCCCTATAATTCTAAGGTGTATTGGTTATCACAGGGACAGGTGTGAGCCTAAATTTTATCTCTGTGAGAACAGATAGTTAAATTTTATGAAGAACAGAATCAGCAATGTGAATTATTGAAAGAATATTTCTTTAGGAATGCAGCATTCTGGGTGATATCATGTCAAATCAAAATGACTTGAATATTTCTTTGTAAGGTAAAACTAAGTCTATATATGATATGTGGCAAAACCCCCAAGCATTTCAAAAAACAAAGCTATCTTTTTTTAAAACACTTCCTCAAAAGGAAACTTGGGTTGAACATTTCCCCAGTTAACAAAGGTAATTGATGAGCAGGATGATATATGCAAATGTTTGAAGACTATGTAGCTGTTATAGAAATATTAATTGGAGAATACAAAGAAAGGTTCACTGACTTTGAAAATCATGACATCTCATTCAAAGTAGCATGTCAGCCTCACCTAGTTGATATTGCCAAGGCACCTAAAGAACTACAGATGGAATTAATTGATCTCTCAGTAGAGAGACATTTTAGAGTCTTTGTTTGATGCAAAGAAAGATCCAGTTGAAATATGGAAAAATGCAGTAGAACACCCATGCCTTTGTCAACATGCCCCCCCAAAATGCTTTCTTGCTTTTCAACCATTTATTACTATGAATCTACATTCTCCTACCTAATCCAAATGAAGACACCCTCAAGGTCATAAATGACTGATACCCATATAGAGGATCAAGTGAAACTGTGGACCTCCATGCTGCAACCATATATTCAAATGCTTCTAACAAATGCCGACTCAACAAAGTCGTTACAAGGTTGGGTAACTTTAACAAATAGATTTCATTTTTGAGAGTATTAAGTACTTAGTAGTTAGATTTTTAGAAAATAATGTATATTTTTAAGTATATCTAATTGAAGTTTCTTAAATATGGCCTTATTTGATTATAGCTAAATTAATGTGGCATTCCTACATGAAAAGCTCCCCAACACCTGATCTAGATTATCAGACTGGATATTTCTGACGTTACTAAATGTAACTGCAGTTTGCTATTGGCTTATCTTCTCTCTCATTTTCTCTACATTTTAAATTATCTTTCTTTGTATAATTTGATGGCAGTAGTGAAATGAGACTAATCAATTTTCAAATTGTTTGATTTTTATTGTTGCTTCATAAACTACTAAAACCTCAGCATATTTTTTTTCTTAAATCCATTGGTTGAAACCAATCATTTTTATTGCTATTAAATAACATAGGAATTTTTCAGGAATAATCAGATTTCAGAAAATGTAGAAAGAGTATGGAAAAATTAATAGCCCTAGAGAAAACATCTCAAAATTAGAAAAATGACTTTCTCAAGTTACTGTTCATAACAGTTAGGTTTTTTAAGTATTCATTCACTTATAGTGCATTCTATAAAATCTGTTGGGTACTTTCTGTGTACCAAGGCACTGTATTAGGTACAGTGATAGACCTTGTAAGGCATGATCCTTGCTTTTGTGGAGTATTACAGTGCTTATACTCTATCAGAGAATATAGACAATAAACTACTAAACAAATGAAGGAGATTCTTATAGATTATAGAACAATGAAGAAAATAAGTAGGGAAATGTGATACAGAGAACTGGGAAGGACCTCCTTTAGCAAGTGGTGGTCAGAAAGGCCTCTCAGAAAAGGTGATGTTTGAGCAGAGACCTGAAAGAGAAGAGAGAATGGGCCTACCTTGTCAAAATCTGGGAGAACATTGCATAGAGAACATTGTTGCAGAGAGAAGAGTAAGAGCCAAGGCCTTGCAGGAGTAAAACAGACTTGGGGTTTTTAAATAACAGAAAGCAAGCCAGTATGGCTGGATCCTAGTGAACTGGCTGAGTTAGTGCTTAAAGATGTTGGAGAGCCTAGGAGTCTGATAATAGATAAATAAGACTTGTAGGTCTTGAGAAAGTATTTGGGGTTGATTCTCAGAACAATGGGAAGCCATTGAGGATTTTCTGTGGAAGGTCATTAGCTGAAAAAAAATTAGCCAGTGGAAATAAAAAAAAAAAGTTTTGCAAAGGATAAATACAATGTGTCCCTACTCAGTTGTTTACCTTGATCCCTGGGAATGAAAAAACTTTGACAAGTACGCTAAATGAATATGTAATTCAGTTTCTCTACTCTATTTAGGTAAGGGGGTAGGGGAATGGGAACTCTGAGGTGAATATGTTAAAAAACAGTTCACTTTCCACTGTAACATTGTTCATTCATTTTTTTTTGTCTTTTTGTCTTTTTGTTTTGTTTTATTTTCCACTGTCACATTGTTGCTTGTGCTGCAAGGTAAGTTGTCGCCAACTTTATTAAAAATTAGATCAATGTTCAGTTTAAGAATTTGTTTTTAAAAGAATGATGTTTTATTTTCTCATAGAAATATGTTTCATTTGGAGGGCTGGAAGTTTCCTTTGTGTATAAAGGAATAACTTAGAATTTAGAAATGTCTTTTGGGATTTTTAAGAAGAGTTTTCCTTCAGCTGGTGCCTCTCCAACATTTTCAAATTGCCATACCTTTATTTATTGAGAGATTAGGATTATCCTGTTTCTTGAGGCTTAAATAAGTTTTATTGCTGAAGCAATCCACCTTTGAGGTCTAGTTTATCCCAAATAGGAACACAGATGATTGTTGATATTCCATAGGGTAAATTCTAATATTGTGGAGGAATAACCTGCAAAATTACCTTCAGTGGCTCCTGTGGGGTCAAGTTCCCACTCTAACTCAAGCAAGCATCCTCCATAATTTGACCCCGGCCTACCTTCCCACATGTCCTATTACACTCTTATACAAATCTCTGTTGTTTTAAACTGATTTTCCCCAGTTTGGAACTTTTGTGCTTAACATTATTCCTGGTATAGGATAGGTGTATATTACGTGCTTGTTGAATGGATACCATTCCTTTATTTACTGTCATTTAAAATCCCAGTGCTAGTCAAGGAACAGATCAAATCTTAGTCTGCCTCCCTGCTGAAGGTAAACATGAGTTACAAACTTGCTCTGTTGTATCACTATATTTATTTGATGCCTGCCCATCTCCGTACTGGCTTCTGGCTCCATGAAGGCGACCTAGACCTTGTCTGGCTTGCTCATCGCTGAGTACCTGGCTCATTTTGAGTACCTGGCACATGGTATGCACTCTATAAATAGTTATTGGATAATGAATAAGTGCTGTCTTATGATGTTTCTTCTATTTTTTTTTTGATACTTAGATCATTTAATGCTGTTTTACTTTTTGCATGTTTGCCTGGTGTTCTGAAATGGTTTCTGAGAGAGGTCATAGGACACACTTGTTAAGAGAACAAGCTCTAGAGCTAGGCTGCCTGGGTTCCAATTCTGTCTAGGAGACTTAATAGCTATGGGACACTGGGTGAGTTAGTTAACCTCTTTGTACCTCAGTCATCTCATCTGTAACATAGGGATAATAGAACTTACTTCTTAGGGTACTTGTAAAGATTACATCAGTTAGCCAGGCCCACAATTTGTACGTAAAAAAAAAAGAAGTTCTGAAAACCAAAAAAAAAAAAAGAAAAATTATTTGGTAAGTTAGATGACAAAACACAGGTATCAAAACCTAACTTGAACTTACATGAGGGTATTTATAGTCTCTATTCTATTTAATGTTAATCTTTATTTGGTTTTGTTGTAGAATAAATAATATGTTTATGGAATAGTGCCACAGATCCTAATGGAGTATTACATAATGTATAGTATATGCAGGTTATTTCCTATCTAAAAGTCTGGACATTTCTAAATTTGGACACACATCTGGCACCAAGATTTTCAGATAAGATTTTGTATACCTTATGGTAAAGTGCTTAAATCAGGGCCTTGCACATAGTAAGCTGTTGCTGTGGGTGGTAGAGATTAGAGAGGTAAATGAACTACTTTATCTTTCCCAATTCCTTGCTCATAATGGTTACCATGTAAATGGTTACCATGTAAATATGTGTGGATTTATTCATGCAACAACTCTGAATAGAGAGGGCTGGCTGTATGGTCCTCATATCACAAGAAAACAGATATGGCAGAGTCACATGATTGAAATGAGCCAAGATCCAAGTCTGTCAGTATTCTCTTATCTATTACCATTAAGAGTAGTTATTTTTTGTTTTTCTTTTTGTTATTTAAACCAAACTATGCTTCTTTAGGATAAGAGAATCTTTTGGGGGAGTAGGGGGAGATTCAGTTAAGAACTTATATTAAGTAAGATACTTATTAGACATTTATTCTTTGCAGTTGCTAAACATTTATTTAACTCTTACTGTGTATAGGAATCTGTATTAAAAGCAAGAGAAAAGTATATAACAAATGAGACATGGCCTTCAGCAGCTCCAGTACCACGCATGGTTACGTGGGAATGTGAGCGTACATTACAGCATTGCAGTTCTTTATTTCCTCTGTAAACTTGACATCATTAATATTATAGATATAAAAAGGAAAACCCAAGAGTTAATTAAACTCTTCTTAGTGCTCACTTTTATGAATTGGGCTTTAATTATCCTAACTGCCCCCCGCCCCCACAATGTTATCGCCGTATGGCATGTTGGCAACCTTTTATTTCTAACTAAATGTAAAAAAAAAAAGTTTTCTATTGATCTCCTTTATCAATATACAATTGATATATTTTCTTTGTTATTTTGTTTTTGTGGGGTTGCCAGTAATTACGTCTCAAAGAATTGTTCTGGAATGCTCTTGTGGTTGGAAAGTAGTCCTGGAAAGCATTTTGCCAGTTTGTTCAACAAATATTTATTAAGTTCCCATTATATTCCAGGCATTGCACTCATCTAAACAAATCTATTCTCTGTCTGGTGCTCTGTCCACTACTTTGGGTCCCTCAAACTGGAACACATGTACTGAGTGAGCAGGGTGGTGACATGGGAGTGTTCCTCAAGATCTACAAAATAAAGCAGCTTATGTTTCTTTCTTTTTTTTTTAAGCATCTCTTTTACACAGAGATTTAGAAGAATATTAATTGGTAGCTAACTTAAAATATTTAAAAATATTTCAACAAACTCTGATACATTGTGCTTTAGAATGCAATATTTATAGAAAATTTGAAGTAAAACCCAATACTTTAGAGAAAGTCTGTTCTTTCAAAGGAAGCTGTGGTAACCTTGGGGTGACTCTTCACATTTTTTTTTATTTCAGTGTATTATAGGGGTACAAATGTTAAGGTAACGTATATGCCCTTGCCCCCCCCAAGTCAGAGCTTCAAGCGTGACCATCCCCCAGACGGTGCACATCTCACTCATTATGTATGTATATACATACCCATCCCCTCCTTCTATCTGGTCAACACCTGATAAATGTTATCTCTATATGTCCACTTAGGTGTTGAACTAGTTCAACCTACACATTTTTATAGCCTTAAATTCCCATGATGACCTGTGGGAAGGGTAATGGATATTAATGTTTTTCTGTGTCCAGTTTCTTTTAGTTCAAGGGTACATGGTGGTTACTCTTGTTCTAATGGTCTAAAAATCTTACAATGTGTTTAATTCTAACAGAGTTTCTCATGTCAGTGGGTAATGGCTAAGAGTGACAGTGAAGGATCTGCCAAGGGACTGAGAGCTTCAGAATAGAGGTTATTAGAACCCAAGGACCATGAACTTAAAGTAGCACAGTTGATGGGGCCAGAGCTTTGCCCTGTTCTGTGTACACTTGCCTGTCTCAGAGATTTGAAGTTCATTTTTGCTAACTTTAAAGATGCTTTCATTTACAAGACATTCAGCATACAAACTGCTTTGTTAATTCCTTGCCACTGAAATAGTTAATACTAGAAGAAACTTGACAAGGATTATGTGCTTTAAGGTTGATAAAAAGTTTCTACAGTTTGAGATGGTTTTGAAAATGGGCCAGCAGTGCATTGGAGGAATGCCTGTTACAAAGTGATGGTTTAATTTGCTCCATATGAGAAAGATGAAGAAACAGACAAGTGAGGAAAGGGGGTAAAAGTAAATGGTGGTGGTGGGGGGTAAGTCAAACACTAAATCTTTCAACTGATTTTCATTATTGCTGTCCCACTTTCATTGTCCCATGCCAGACACAGTTCACAGGGCCTGACATTGTTTTACTGTTGTGCTACTGCTCAAAGCTTGCAAGGATTTGAATATAGAGGATAGTGATTAAGGGATAGTCTGTATATTCTATGTGTGAAGTGCTTTTATAGTCTATTCAGTAAAAGGGAATAAGAAAGTTTTGCTTCCTGGTCCCACTTTTTAAAAACACTATACATTTCTAAAGAATGTTTCAACAAAGATTCTGTGTTCCACTCTTGGATATTTCTTAGTGGGAAGGAAGTAGTATTTAATGGCTAAGATCTTGGGCCCTGGAATCACAGGCTTGTGTTCAAATCCTGACTCTTCCTCTTATTGGGCAACTCATTTCACCTCTTTGAGCCTTGCTTGTCTCCTCTGTAAGCTATCTAATTTGGCTGTTTTAAGGTTTAAATGAAATAATGCATATAAAGTGCTAAGCACAGTTCAAGCCACATACTAGATATAACTATTCTTATTATTGACTTTTTTCATAGATTTGTGGCTGAAATAGTTGAAAACTTGGAGCATACTATGGGAGCTTTGGCATATGAAGCAGAAATATGAGGGAAATTGGGTATCTTCTTTATTTATATTGTCTTAATCCCAGCTGGAATGCTATTTTTTGAATGTGTATCTGTTAAATAGTGAGTAGACTGTTAAGAAATAACACTAGTTTTCTGGCAGATAAGAAAGTTTATGGTTAATGCTTGGCTTATTACTTACTCAAATATGGCATCACATTGAATGCAAGAAAAATGTCAGTTTTTAATACAGTTAACCCATATATTAAAATATGATACTATGTAGTTTAATAGGATTTTAAATTTTGATATCCATTTTGAAGGAGAGTAGAAATGCAGGAAAATGTATATTAAAAACAATGTCTTTTAAACATGAAAACATTTGGTTTTCTGATAATCACAGAGGTCACACATTTTCCTGTTTATCTCCAATTATTCCAGATTTCAAGTGCCCAAAGAAGAAAATATTGAAGCCTTTATAATACTTAAGCCATTGGGAAGAGGTATAATTCTGTTTGAGTAATGTTTTTTAAATAAACTTTGAGTTGTTATGGTTACCTTAAGCTTTTATTTTAGTTACTCTAGCAGCAAATGAAATAATACCTTAAGAGATGATAAAAATGCCTTAGCAGTTTTGATAAATGAATAGATATGCCTAAATGAGTTACTGAGAGCAGCTTTAGGTGTTGGAGGGGTAGTCTAACCTTTTGAGTTGAAAGTACATGCACATACCTTTCTTGCTCTCCTACATGATGCCCTTCCAATCTCAGACATATAATGAGACAGATGATCCTTGGGGAGCCAGGTTGGTTGTAAAATGCCACAGTCACAAAGAAGGGAAAATACTAGGTAACACATTGGTAACATACTGTATATTCACAGGTTTTTGTTACAGTTATTAAAATAGTGTGCATCCAGGTGCTTGAAAAACTTAGCTCACTATATTGATGAGATATATTATTTATTAGCAGTGATGCCTGTATTTATAAATAGTGATCATTGTCAGTATCATTTGAAGATGATAAAACAATGTTTGAAAGTATTTTTAGAACAGTTAGGCTTACTCTACCATTAGATAATAGCTATAGATAGATAGTGTTAACAGATAATGTTAAATAAAATTAATGCCCTTTATTTATAGAGCATCTTTCTTTTGAAGCATGATTAACTGTCCTTATTTTATTTACTCCTGTGGACTATGCAAAATAAGTTTAAGGAAGTTGCAGAAGGGTCACATCCTGGGAGGTAGAGCTAGGAGTAGAATGTAAGGCCCTTGGTTTCAGTGCTTTTGCATTAATGATATAAAAAGCTCCTTAGCCCAAAGGATCCTTTAATATCTCTAGACTTTCAATTAATGGAGTGAAACCAAAATGTCAATAGAGGAGACATGATCATTCTATATCTGTACATGTTCTTGTACAATTTGGTATTTATCGAAACAAGTTTTGAATTTATAAAGGAATTTCTTATGTGCCTTTAGCACCATATAGGTGCAGTATCTATTTAAACATTCATGAACAAGTGTTAGTTGGGCAATTATTTTTTTTTTTTTTTTTTTTTTTTTTTTTTTTTTTTTTTTTTTTTTCGTGGCGTCAGCCTAACTCACAGCAACCTCAAACTCCTGGGCTCAAGCGATCCTCCTGCCTCAGCCTCCCGAGTAGCTGGGACTACAGGCACAAGCCACCATGCCCGGCTGATTTTTATATATATATATTAGTTGGCCAATTAATTTCTTTCTATTTTTATGGTAGAGACGGGGTCTCGCTCAGGCTGGTTTTGAACTCCTGACCTTGAGCAATCCGCCCGCCTCGGCCTCCCAGAGTGCTAGGATTACAGGCGTGAGCCACCGCGCCCGGCCAGTTGGGCAATTATTAATAAATGTAAAGCACTCTATCAAGAGGAATAAAATATATCCACTGCCCTGAAATAGCTTACAATCTAGCCAGGGGTAACAGAGAACATGACACAAATCGGTACCAGCTAATACTAATATTAATACCAATTATAGCACTCACTGTGAGTCTGGCACCATTCCAAGTGTGTTCTATGCAGTGACATATTTACACAACATAACAATGCTACAAAGTAGGGACTATTATTGCCACCACTTGACAGCTGAGAAAACTGAGACACAGAGGAGCTGAGTAACTTGCCCAGGGTTACGTACCATGGAAGAACTAGGAATAAAATCCATGCAGTCTGATTCTTGAGCCTGTGCTTTTAACTATAATTCTTCTCTATAATTCTACCTCTGACAGGGGGCATTATATAAGAGAGCATGGTAGCTAAAAAAGGCATGTTAGAAAACAGATTCTGGAGAAACAAGAGAAATGATTAGAGGAGGGTGTTAAAGTTGGCAAGATATTTTGAAGACAACACTTTTTAAGGAGGTCTCATTTAAAAGCAAGGAAAGTATTTCTGAATATTTTAATGTTCAAGACTGTGTGTGTGTGCACAGGTGTGTCTGTATGTATGTTCATTATGAACTGGAAAAAAACCTTAGA